TAGCCAAATGGCGACAAATTTTCGCCCTATTCACGCCGCCTATGGATTCTGCGCCCGCCACGCTGGATCCTTTCCGCGTTCTTCGGCTGCCGGCTCGGGAAATCCTACCGGCCTCCAGGCTGTCCTCCAGCGGCTCGTATCGGGCCGCCACACGCGTCGATTCCCGCACGCAGTCCACGCGCCGCCGTATCGTGCTCCACACCGGCGACTTCAGGCGATCGTAAACCGCTTTCAGGCAATCCGCCACTTCCGCCATCGTCGGCCGGTTGCTCGCTGTCTTTCTCACGCACCGGGCGGCCAAGACTGTGATCTGCCGGATCGCAGCCTCGTCCTCCGGCAAGCGCATTCTCGGATCGCAGATCTCAGCGTAAGCCCCGGATTTCACCAATGGCACCGCCCAGTCCACGACGGAGGATGGGCTGTGATTTAAGTCAATGGCGTTCCGGCCGCTGATTATTTCCATCAATAGTGTCCCGAAGCTGAACACATCGGATTTCGGCGTGAGATCTCCCGGCGCAAGATATCCCGGATCGAGGTACCCCAAAGTCCCCGCCGGCGGCGTGCGCATCGCCGCCGCATCCTCCACGCGCCCCATCACCGCCAGTCCGAAATCCCCCAGCCGCGCGTTGAACCTCCGGTCAATCAGCACATTCGCCGACTTTATATCCCTGTGTAAGATCGGCGGGTTCAACCCGTGGCAGAACCGAACCGCCTCTGCCACCTGCAAAGCGAACCTAATCCGGCGATCGAACCGGATCGGCCGGTCCGATCCGTGAAGCAAGTCGTACAACGAGCCGTTCGGCATAAACTCCACAACCAAAACCTTCTTCCGGTTCATTTCCAACCCGTACCCGATCAAATTGACGAGCCGCGGGTGGTAAACACGGGACAACACATCCACCTCGTTCTCCGCCGCGGCGGCGGTTCCGCCAGCGCTGCTCTGTTTCGTAACCTTGACGGCGACCGTGGCAAACCCATTCCGCCCCTCAAGAAGATTGGCTCTGTAAACAAACCCATAGCTCCCTTTCCCGAGAAGATTTCCCTGGGAGAAGCCATTAGTGGCAGAATCAAGATCGGAGCAAGAAAACTCTCTGATCTGGAAGGGCCTGCTTGGCGGACAGTGGGTTTTGAAGATTGAGGAATCGCAGGTGGCAATTGCGGCCTCGGCAGTGCAAGAGAGCAAACCC